CCCACGGCCCAGGGGGTGGCTGCGGTTGTTGGGGGGGGGGGGCCCTCAGGTCCTGCCGTGCTCTGGCAGGACTCGCAGGCCTCAGCCATGACCTATACACGGAAAGGGCATGGTGTCAGTAGCAAAGGCACCGGGGAGGTCATGGGCCCAGGCATGCGCTTTGGGGACCCTCTCCCAGTGCAGTTGCCTCACCCCCACGTGTGTTCTGACAGCATGGAGGAAGCTGAGCCCTCCAGGGAAACTCCTTGGAGGCCCAGGGCCCAGCGCTTTATCGGAGTCCCAGGAGGCATGCAGCCCAATCCAGGCTCCCTGAAAGAGCGTGGTTGGGGCTCCCAGAGCCACTCGGAGCTGAGCATGACTCAGGCCCCATGTCAGGCTGGCCTCCCGTCGGTCGGCTCTTCTGCGCATGCGGCCCTTCCTGGGCAGGTGTTGCAAGTCCTTTCGGGAGTGTTGGGGAGGGAGGGGTGAGGGTGTTCGGCAGTTCGTAGGTGTGACTGGTACTGGTCTAATACCAAGGGAGACTTGGCAGGTGGTCACCATTCCCTGGAGAGGGCGCGTCACCCAGTGTCCCTAACAGTGAATTAGCGCAGTGGCTTTTGCCGGTCCGCCTCAGGCCTCCCTCCTGAGGCCGTGTCGGGTGTAGAGCCAGACTGCTGTCACAGCCAGCCTGCTCACTTTGTTCAGATCGGGGACACAGGGGCGGGGCTTCCCTGCGTTCACTGAGTCAAAGGGTGTTTCCTCCCTCCCGCCTTCCTTCCGTAAATGTGCTGCCACCGACTTAGGCGTGGAGAGCCTTGCACTGCACCTTGGCGGTTTAGAAGTTCGGGTTTTAACCACCAGCATGTGTAGCAACCTGCTGCGAATGGGTGTCCTCTCTGACGTCCTCACACATCACGTGGATGTTCCATCTCGTGCACACTTGGGTTAGAGTGAGAGGAGCTGGGTGGACAGGCTGGCTGAGGGCGGGCCCCCGAGGGAATGCCAGTACTCAGGCCTTGCAGAGTCTCTGACGAAGATTCTGGTGCCAGCTTCGGGGAGGGTCATCAGGGCTGAGTTGTATCGGTACAGACTGGGGGTGTCTTCACGACCGCACTCTGGGGGAGCTGTGGGTGGGTGCAGCATTTCTTGCACCACAGTGAACTTGTAATTTAACCCTGACTCTACAAACCTTTGAAAAGTCCTGTGTGTGATTCCTCGGTGTCAGCGTGCTCTGACCTCAGTGAGTTCCTGCGTGTCAGTATTACAGAAAAGTCTAGCGCGACCCGACTGTGATTTAAACTGTCAGGAAGAGCAGGTTTCGGGGTATCAGATGTGGCAGTCTGCAGCCGTTTTGAGCCAGGGCCCCGAGAGTGACTGCCCGAGCTCCCAGCATGGCGTCTGGCCAGGAGCCACCTGCCCACTCAGCACCCACTTCCAGGGCTGGGGTGCTATCCCTGGTCTCCAGACTTGAACCTGGCCCCCATGAAGTAGAAGGGCCTCGGGGGCACCCCCAGGTGCAGCACGGCCTCTGTGGCGGCGTGCTCATTTGCTGGCTGCGTCGAGGCCTGGTGTGACAGGATGCCCTGCGGGGTGGTGGGGTCGGGCTCTTTGGGGAAGACAGGGAAGCGTGTCTCCACCCTCTTCTCCATGTGACGGCCCTGGTGCTGCCCGCAGGCGCAGAATCCGCATCTGCTGTGATGAGCTGAACCTCCTGGTCCCGTTCTGCAACGCCGAGACCGACAAGGCCACGACGCTGCAGTGGACCACGGCCTTCCTGAAGTACATTCAGGAGAGACACGGGGACACGCTGAAGAAGGTGAGTGCATCGTCAGGCCACATGCTGCACCGAGCTGGGAGGCCTGGCCGGTCAGTGTCCTGTTTGTCCTCCTCCCCCGAGGATAATGCCAAGTGCCCTTGTCTCCTGGAAGCTGATTGTCGAGGACAGCAGCCGATGCAGCGCTGCTCAAGTTGGCCCGCGTAGCCGTGGAGCGTGGCTGTCCTGGCTACAGCAGGCGGGGCTGGGCTAGGCTGGGTGTGAGTTCTACTCTCAGAGCTCTTTGAAAAGGGGTGAAAACAAGAATAGCCAAAACCAAAGAGTGAAACAAGCAATCTGGACTCCAGATACTCCCTTGGGTGGGTGACCAGGCACAACAACGCCAGAGCAGCCCGGCACCACAGGACCCTGTCTCTTGGTCACAGGTGGGGCCAGTGAGCCACCGTGGCTCAGCCAGAACCGAGCCTGGTTGGAGAGCCGCCCGGGCCTCAGGTCTGGGAGGAGTCCGGTGGCTCTGCCTGCCTTCAGGCCTCCGCTCCAGGGACAGGCTTCCGACTCCAGTGTTCAGGGCAAGTGGCTTCGTCCCTTCAGGAGGGGGCAGGCCTTCGGACAGTGCCGCATGGTCCTGGTTTTGCACTTGACCGAGCTGCTGGGTCGTCACTGCTGTTGGCTGCAGAGAAGGGGCAGGGTGGGTGCAGCCTACCAGGGCCTAGAGAGGGCTCCCCTGCGGGCGAAGGGTGGGGCCGTCCCTGTGTGCCAGGCGTCTGTGGTGCGCGTCTCTCGCAGGGCCGCGTGCCGTTGGCATCCTAGCGTGCTTCTATAAGCTCCTTTTTTCCATTGTACGTTTGCTTGCTTTTTAAAGCAACACTGTGTCAAATCTGTTCTGATGGGGTCATATGGTAATTTCTGTTTGGTGTATTTATAGTTATCTTCAATATTGTTAGAGCTGGACTGCTGGTTTACTTTAATAAAGCTTTTATATATTTAAAAATGATGTGATGTTTGGCTTTGTGTACTTTTTAGTAGCCGATTATTATTGATACTGTTTGTCCAGATACGACAAAAGCCTTTACAGTCTGTGTGTGTGGATGTATGTAGGTTTTTGCCTTAGGGTGCGTGTACTCGTGGGAGAGAGAGACGGTGAGAGGGGAAGGGAGAAATCACCCTCGGGGGAATGACCTGGCCTCGGCCCTCCTCCATTCTCTAACCGGGCACGCACGCACATGTGTCCACTGAGTTTGGAGCTCAGACTGGTCGGCCATGTGAGGGTCCAGCCACGGAACTGCTGTGCCATCTGCTGGCAGGACGGTGGGTCCCACGTGAATCCCCCAGGCACGTGACTCCCATGTGGCTGGAGGTGTGGTTTGAGTCCTGGACCTGGCAGCTTGAGAAAACATTGGGTGTGCGTGCGTGCCTCAGCTCCAGGAGAAGAGGGGATGGTGGCACGGCCACCCCCAGGAAGTCCTTTCTCCTGTCCTCTCTCCTGGCTCTTCGCCAGGCTTATGTGCCTTACAGCAGACTGTTAACTGTGTACGCAGATTACGTAACCTAGAAATGTATGGGGTTGTGTGCGTGTGTGTGCATGCGTGTGTGCTCTTGCGTGCGTTGGAGAACGCCTGTGCTCAACAGTCAGACAGGTAGAGGAGAGACCGTCCCCTTCCCTGGCAGGGGAGTGGCCGCGCCCAAATCCCTTCTCTCTCCTTCCTTTCAAAATGTCGGGCACAGGTAAACGTGCTGAGGCCCAGCCGCAGGCTCTGGGACTCAGACTACACGGGGAGCCACGTGGGATCTGGCTGCCTTGGTTACCCGGCCCCGGAACTGGCCCTGCTGTTTCCTGTGTGGCACTTCCGAAAGTCCATGGAGAGTGGGCTTAAAGTGCAGGTTCATCGTGGTGACCCACGCACGCAGAACTGCTGCTTAATGTGCATTTTCCTGTTTCCTGTGGACTCCCTGAAGGCCTGGTCCCCTGGGTGTGTGTGAAACGGTCCTGAGTTCGTCGGCGGTTTCTGAGCCAGGCCAGGTTGGTCAGCCCTTGGAGGAGCAGGCTCAGCCAGTCAGCGGCCTGTGGCGGGGCGGGGCGGGGCAGTAACAGCGCGTGCGCCGGGACCTCTCCCTCCTCGTGTCCGCCTCCTCTCATCTGCATACATGCTTTGTTCTTACCGTTGTGATGTGAGCGTTTGAGTCTCGTAATTGACTTGGTCTGCACTTCCCGCTGCAAATGCCTCCCTGGATAATGTGCATCTCGGGGTTGGGGGCTTGGGGAGACGGAGACCCTACTGTGATCTGACCGGGGGCTGTGGGAGCTGCCCTGGGTTGGGCGTATCTGGAGGCAGCTGTGGTGGGCACCTACAGCTCCCCGGACCTGGGGAGCTGTTCCACTGTCCACCCTCTGCGAGTGGCATAAAGCCGGCAGGGCCTGGGGTTGGTGGAGGGAGCCCTGTAGGTTTTGGGGGTTGGCATGACCTGACCCACATCTTAGATCCAGGAGGCACAAGGCAGGTGGGCAGGATGGAAGGTGGAAAAACTGCAGGTGACTCAGATGAGGGCAGTGGGAGTGAGGAAGGGTGTGTGGTGGCAGACGGGGCGTGATGGGAAGGTGTGGGAGGCGGTGGGGCTCGGCCCCACAGCTGGGGGCTGGGGCTGTTTATGAGATGGGACGAAATGGGATGACCGGCAGGCGGACTCTGTGCCCTGCCTGATGGCGTGTGCAGTCCCCTGTGTGTGGGGTGGTGGCCGTGGGTGTGGGGGGCTGGGGGTGACAGCACACAGAGGGCTGTCCTTGGGCTGGATTTTTAGTGGCGTGTGGAGTGCAGTGGTCGCTGGGAGCCCAGCGCGCCATCTTACACCACTGTTGACGGGACAAGGACCAGCCTGCTTCCCTCGGTGCGTCTGCACACTGCCCATAGCCTCCAAGGCCCAGGGCGGGCATCTCACACAGAGCTGATGCGTGCTCTCCCCGTGAGGCCTGTCCTCACCGTGTTCCCCATGTTCTCGAGGGGTTCGGGAAGGGCCTGCAATAGCTGTTCTTCTGGCCCTAGACCCCGCCCCTGCCCCCGCCGTGGGTTTGGCACCTCCCAGGTTCCCATCGCAGACACCGCAGTCCTGCCCTTGGTCCTTGCTGTGACATCCAGGCCCTAGGGCCATCAGCCCCCGTTCTGGGAGTAGATGACCCTTTCCTTTGGGTCCTTTTTAGTTTTGCTGTGACATTTCACAGCCACCATCTAGCCTTTGCCTGGTGTCCCGTGATGCCCTGCACAGCCGTTTCCCAGACAGGAGCGGCCACAGGTGCACCCAGTCGGCGTGCATGCCACGCGGCTTCACAGCTGCTGGGCCACTCGCCTCCTCCACTGGGACGGCCCAAGGTCTCCACACCCTCCCGCCCTCCACTTTGTGCCCTGCTTTGTCATTATGTCCTCCTTGTCACCGAGGGTGAGTCCCTGCCCTGAGGTCAGGCCCTCTCTGGTCACACTCACCTCTGCCGCCCGCCCAGGGACTGCACCCCCGCCGCTTTTCCTGCTCTTTCTCCTCTGGCCATTCTGGGAGAGCCCTAGGCCTGTGCCCTGCAGCTGCCCGTTTCTGCGCCTCCCAGGCTGCTTGGCTCCAGGCCCCTCTGCACCCCGCCTTCTGCCTCCCATAGCCTGGAGACCGCCGCCCCTCTCCGGGGCCATGTCGCCAGCCTCTCGGTGGCATGGACAGGCCTGCACAGTTGTGCCCCTTACACTCCTTAGGGAGGGGCTGCCCAGGGAGACCGTGGTCAGAGCTGAGCAGCTGAGCCAGCCGCAGTCTGACTGGGCAGGACCCCCGGCGTGCGGCCCCCATGGTGGGGAGGGCTGGTGGAGATGGCTGTGGGGGATTCTCCTTGCAGAGGCCTAGCCCCACCCCGCCCAGCACCGCCCTGCCCAGCGCCGCCCTCAGCTGCAGTGGCTTCTGCATGCTGGGCCCCTTCGAGGACTCGCGGAGGACAGAGCGCCTGTGCTCTCTTCCTCGCCGCCCGCCCCCCACTGCCACGTCTGCTCAGGCGTCCTACCACCCGGCACCTCCCAGGATGTCCCTTCAGGAGTGGACCCTAACGTGTCACATGACGATGTGGGTCACTTCATTGTTCCCCTCTGCACGTGCGTCGGCTGCTCTGCAGGGCACGCTGTCCAGCTGGGGCGGGCTGCCGAGGGCCTTACTGGGACTGTCGAATGCTGTGACCGCCGAGATGCGTGGGTGAGCGCGTGCTCCTTGGGAACACGGGCGCTGGCCCAGTAGCTGCTGCCTGCCTGCCGTACCATCAGTGTGCCTCTGTCTGGTGCCAGGAGAGAGGGCTGATAGTCACCTGGCCTTGACGTGGAGATCCACATCGCTGAATGACAGGACTCGACCTTGTCGCCTTAGAAATGTCTAAGAGCAGGGCTGGCTCAGATGTGGCCGGGCAGGGTCTCGGAGGTGGGTCCCACTGACCTGCGCCAAGGGAAGCGGTCTGGATATTTGCTGCAGGGGGTGTCTAGTCACTTCTTAAACATGTTGAAG